CTGCCATGTTCGAGTGGCTTACAGCCAGACTTTAATAGTTGTTACCAGCCTATGACATGCAAACGAGAAAAAGAGAAGTAAATGTATTCTAGGGCTGTAGCTGAAGGTTGGTGGTTCGATCCCCGTCTGCTCTAGTCTACATGCCAAATATCTTGGACAAGATGCTAACCCCAAGTTCCTCTGCGATGCGTCCATCAGAGTATGAATATTAGAAGCACTTGCATAGACAGTTGTAGAAGCGTGCTGTGTAAGAAGCAGTCCATGCACCGTTCTACACAGGTTGTTGCTTTTTGCAGTGGCATTGACCCCTCTGTGCTAAGCTCATGTTAGCAGCAGTCTGCACCTGTTTTCCATCAGGCCTCACCCACGGCTCAGGATGTAATCAGGTGTTTTTCCCCAGGCTGTCAGCGTGTGTGTCTCTCCATAATAAAAGGCCAATCTGGCTCTGTCGTCCATCACAGCAGCATTTCCTGTTTTTACCTCAGGCCTCACAACGACAGGCAGGGATCTTATCTCCGGCTGGCCTGGAAGACCTTTCCCTCGTCATGTCAGCAGGACATAATGATGCCGTATTGAGAAAACCATAAACGTGCGACTGCTGATCTGTTATCGGGCTCATGGCACATGAAGGAGCTGAATGAATTCTGTGAATGATGTGCTCTGATGTTCAAACCAGATAGGTGGATGTGATTGATATCACCACACAGAGCTGGGGAGTGTGTGGCGCTGGTTCCATCTGAGTGAAACGCTGCATCACACTGTAGCAGACACATTCACCCGAACACAGGACAGCTCTGAGTTTGGTGGACAAAGTCAAACAACCATTACTGCACATTTTTACTCTGACAATGGAAATCTGTGTAAATGCATTAGACAGGCACCTGTTAGTCCTGAGCCACCTGGGAGCTGCAGAGTTCAGCAGGACTAGTGTTCGTTCAGTCTTTTCTAACACAGCATTTCACACATTAACTTGTGCAACAAGTGTCTCCTGGAGAAGAGTCCATTTGGTGATGGACGTCCTTTATAAGGCAGGACGCGGACCCCAGCCAGAACCTGCAGCAGGTTCAACTAATTCCAGTACAACCATTAAAAAGTGAGTGTGAGAGCAACACTGAGCTCTCACCAGGACACGGAGGTACCGCTGTGTTTAAAGCTTATTGGACTGCACTGTGATTCATACATTTTGTGACCGGCCCATTAGCTTGTAGCGTGTTGCAGCTAGAATATAGCTGCTCAGGGCGATGGATGTGAATTTTGTGAAGTTTTCTTTATAGAATTATTCTGACCAGACTTTGTTTATCGTGGATCTGCTGAAACGGCATTTTATCATCTTATCTCTTTAATTGGACGTAGCTCCTGCAGAAACAGGATGTCAGGCAGAGGCAGATCAGATTGTTCTGCTGTGTAAACCGATGTGACGAGAAGTCAGACGTTTTGAAGTTGGGAACTATTTAGATATATTTTGAATCTTTGTAGTTCCGATGTGCCTTCCTGCTTCCCAGAAAGCAGAGAAACCGTCCTGACAGTTTGTACAGATGTGTCTCCTGAACTTGGACATGTCTCAGATCTTTTCTGTACTTTGTTTTCTGCAGTCTTCATCCAGCTATATCAGGTTTAAGTGTCATCAGTGGCCCGTTTGCACCGTGCCAGAGGACGGTGTGCCCTCTGCCCTGTGTGGATGATGGTTGAGTCAGCACAGCGTCTGTGAGCTCGTTCCTGATGCTGTCAGAACGACTCGGACGCCTCGTGTTCACCTTACTTACGTCTGTGTTGGCGATTCAAACGGTCATGTGCGCTCTGTGCTCAGACTGGATGCTGCTGTGAGACACATCAGCAGTTTCTCAGGGATAGTTTGTTTCCAGTCTCTGTGAGCGTTACGATGCTGCTCACGTCTGTATGTGAAATATTAGGAATGAGTCGGGCTGTGGTGGAAAGTCGCAGCATATTTATTAGTACACACACAGATATGCTTACTGTTTGTACTACTTTGTTCCTGTACTTCACTGCATGTCAAAGGAAATATTTGAGGAAAATGTTGTTTACTTTTTAAATTTAGATTGGTGTTTATGTTCTACCGTATTTTCACGACCATAAGGCGCACTTAAAAGTCTTAGATTTTCTTCAAAAAGTGAGGCGCGCCCTATAGCGCGGTGCGCCCTATGTGTTGTAAGGAGGACGTAGTAGAGAACACCATGAGAACGTTAAAGGGTGAAGTGTG